CGGATGGTACCGCCATGGGCAGTCCATTAAGCCCGGTGGTGGCGAACTTTTTCATGGAAAATTTCGAACAACGGGCCTTAGAGCAAGCGGCCATGTAAAACCATATTATTGGCTGAGTATGTTGTTCATACGTTCGTAGTATGGCAAGACAGTTTTTAACATATCTAAATTCTCTCAACCGAAAAATTTAATTCACAATGGAACGAGAAATTCAAGGGACTTTAGCCTTCTTGGATGTTCTGGTGAACAGACATGGAGAGAAAACATTGGGCCTTAGAGTGAACAGGAAGCTAACATACTCAGACAGGTACCTGAATAGAGGCTCTAACCATCAGCCACGACAAAAGACAGGGATAATTTGAACGTTGGTTGAGAGGGACCGACTTAACTGTGGATCCGAGAGTGTACCTGAGGAAGTCAATCACTTAAAACATGCCTTCAAAGGAAACGGCTACAGCAAAGGAGAATCGAGCGGGGCATGCGACCCACGAGAGAGTTAAGTTAGGTTAGAAGGTCTCTTTGACCCTCAATCGCAACCTGCAAGGGTTTATTGTGGTTTACACTCGACCAAAAAAATCCAGCTTCATAACGAAGCCGATTAGTTTGTATGGTGACTGGTTTTTCAGGTCAGATAGTAAGAGTGCGGCTTTGCCAAACTCAGAAAACCTGATTCGGTCCACAGCGGGGCAGGCACGAAGCATGTGCTCTGCTGATTCATCATTTTCCAAACAGAGGCAACACACAATGTCTTTCGACAGTCCGACTCTCTGCATATGATAATTCAGATGACAGTGACCTGTAAGAAGGCCTGTTAGAGATCGTAGTTCATCATTGCTTTAGTCCAACAACTGTTTGGTATCAAGCTTCGAAGGGTGAATGAACGCCTTGGAGTGCGTATAGAGATGCCAATGACAGGTTCTTCGTGCCATCCAGGTGTAAAATGTTTGTTTGGAGAAGCCTAAAGCGATGCCGGTGACAGGTTCTGGTCCGATGAAGCTGCTTGCAGCACCCTCCTTTGCAAGGGAGTCAGCAGTCTCACTGATTGTCCGAATGTTATACTGTATAAGCACTAGCAATCTTCCTTGCAAGAATTTTCTACAACGATAATACTTTGTTGAACCATTGTGAAGAATCACAAACTCATAATATCAGTACGACCATTAATCACGTCTTAATCGGCTGATACATCAACTAGTTCTTCGCGTTTTCTCACTCCCCTATCTCGATCTTGAAATACGTAACATCTAATTATGTTAAAGGCGTGAAAACCGTACGGATCGTATCATCAAACCGAACCGTATATATTTGTATATTCGTAACACGTGCACGCGTCCTACAATTTTGGAATAATAATGTTTGGTAGTTTGTGTACGTGTTTGTATGCAAAGTACCATTTCACGCATACATTACCAGTCCAGAGTCATTGTACTCTACAGGTGATAATATATCAGTGACGTGACGAAAAATATATCACAGAACAGTGGATGAGTCGGTACCCATTATCTAGTTGCGCGGTTTTGAAATTCGTACGGTTTCTATTTGAGAAAATTAAAATACTGACCTTGATAATACCAAATAAAAAGTACGTAATAGTTTTTCATGACAGAGTTAATGTTCCTTGAAGTTCTTGGGTTTCTAATCTTCCGCAATTTGAAAAACCAATCAACAGAGTATCCGCTGAATTGTAATGACAGGCAAGCTGGAAAGTTCATCCCAAAAAGTAACTGCGTAATATAAACCTTCGATGTTACTTTTTTAAGTAAAAAACACAAGCACTACAGAAAAATCCTTAAGGCGTTCTAAGAGCGTTGCTTGTGCGAAAGTAGCGAGTCCAGGCGCGTGCCTAGGATAATTCCATGGGGGGTAATCACCCACTTCAGGCCCAATATTTACTATGAAGGGTTCATATACATTTTGAAACGTAAAACTTCAGTAACACTAAGGCTTTCATATTTAATTCTTTGAAAAAATAGATAAATAAACAGAATAACCTTCAAAGCGAAAAAAATATCTCAAAAAATGAGAAAAGGTAATATTATTTATATTAATTTTTATATCCCGATGAATATTTGGCAAGACAAGTCCTGGTAAACGAGTGTCCGACATGGTTGATCTGGAGTTTGGTAACTAATTGCCACAATCACCAGTTTTTGAAACTGTTGAACTTGTAGCATAGTGATTATTGATTATATCATTGATATAATCCACGCTCTCTGATTCCTTATTGATTTCTTCTTTTCCCCTTCTGCCTTTTTACAATTATGAAGTTTTCGAACGTGTTTTCGGATCTCTTCATTTTACGAATATCGACAATAACGAAACCTGAAAATAGTGAAAACAATAAGTAATTATAAGCACTACAGCACTACTAAAATCATTATTCGGTTCCGATACGATACATCGCACACAATGCTACAAAGTTAAGAAATCTCACATGATCACCTTCTTGTTCAAAATCACGATAACACTCATAAATTGTATTCCATATAAGAATTCACTCCCTACACTGTGGGGTAAGTGATCATTTGGTTCGAGAATCATGTGCCCTGAGCAAGCGCAGAGAGCCAAGGATGATAGCTTTCTGCATCTGTCCGGCTATGATTTCTGACTCCAATAATCAGAACAACCAGACAGAATGGTCTGGATTATTATTGTTATTATTTGAACTATCGCCTTAAAATAGAGGAATGTCACCGGATAGCGAAGCCATTGTTAAATCAAAAATTTTATAGGAAAACAACGTTGATTTCAATAAACTGGCAAGAAAGCTTAAAAGTCGTAATTTTTGGAGCTAATGAAATGAGGGAGAATGCTGCTTTTTGCTTTCGTATCCGTAATCTGTACGTCTAAAAACCAATGTCGGGACGGTGATAGGTAAATTATTATTTACACGTGTTCAACGATAATATTTATTAACACAACTACAACACACTACAGCAAAATAGCAAGAAGAATTTGAGGGGCCACGTGGTTTGCAGAACGGAGACCAAGTTTGCGGAGACCAAGTTTGGATGACTGCTTGACAATAAAGAATTTACATGTTTTTATACTAAGCAGTTGTAGGAAAAGTCCCTACAGTACCTCCCTGCCAGTAGTGAACGTTATAACATTGAGAATGAATATGATATATGAGGAAAAGAAAATTTCGTAAACTAAAGTAATGGGAAAGAATACTAAGTGCGAGCCATTTGAGTTCCTGATAGGTGAATACATTTTTGCAACAATGAAAATGAGGCTGAAATTGGAATTGTATTTTCCAAATAAATAGATTTTTGCAAAGATACTATTCGTGAAATGTTGAAGTTGAATCGCGAGTTTTAAATTGAAATCGAATTGCGATGAAGAAATAATGAATCGAGAGAAATTCAATTTTTTTTTTGAGTATTTGAACGTGAATGTGCAAGAATTTATTGAACTGTATGAAACTATTAAAGAGAATTGTGAAATTTGCGTGGATGAAAGAAAAAACAGGTTTGCAAATTATTTCTTCTTGTGATACGTCTAAAAACATATGTACATCAACAATTTTTTTCAAAATCGGGTATAACCTTCCAGAAATTTTACCCGTTTTCTGTCCACGCATTCTCTAATGTATTCGTGATTAATCTAGTAATAACAATTATAGAAGTATCAAAGTAATTATTGAAATCATCATGTTTCGCAAACAGTCACACATGCATTGTTCCATTCTAGCTGAAATGATTAAGGTAGGCAATTCAGAAACTGGTACAATTCTCATCCGGTTTCGATTTTTCCATTTGGGTTTCGCCTTATAATGATTGCTGTATTTGTTGTGCTATTATCTCGGTCACTTCCTGTCCGGAACGGGTATTGTAAACATTTCCATGGATGTTCGAGAGAGACAGATCCGTTATTTCATTCCAGTTTGTGTGACTAAATAGATTAATACGTTTACTTTTACAAAATCGACAGTTCTTCATCGAATGAATCAGTGTTTTACTGATCCACTAATACTAGTTCGATAAACTCCCTGATTTGTTCAAATCGTTTTAGTAATGCTGGTTTGTGAAAGTACATCCTGTTGTCGATAGGAAGTTGAAGTAAGTCATACGGTTTAATATTATAAAAGGTGTTTATGCAACTCCGGTTGAATTTTTCACAAGAATACCTAACAGTATTTTAATGGTGAAAGAATGTTTATTTTCATACCAAAAATATTATCAAAAACTTCCTAAATTCCATTGCTCTTGTGAATTAGTAGAAAATATGTCTTATTAGTCAGTGGGATATGCTTGAAGACTGACAGTAAACAAATCTAAAGAAATGAACTTTAAATGTTCAAGCCAGTCTCCGATATACCTACACATAGAAACTTTTTTTACGATAGTCGTCGGTCCATTCAACCTACTGTGTAGGTATATCCGAGACTGGCTTGAACGTTTAAAGTTCATTGGTTTAGATTTGTTTACTGCCAGTCTTCAAGCATAGCCCACTGACTAATAAGAAAGTTTTTCTTCCTTATTCAGAGGAATCGGGCAAATTTCGGATATGCAGTTGGTAAGTACCTCGTCCACTAGATGGAGTGACATTTTGATGTTCGATCCAACTTAGGAAGAGGAATGAAATACTCTGAAAGAATTCCGATTTTCAATTATGGAGTATCATTGACTTTAGGTCGATGATGGCCACTATCTTGCACTGACGAGTGGCTAATGAGCCCGAAACCGGTCTGCAAGTGTGCCCGTTCCAAAATTGAAGGTCGACTCTTTCAGTAGTATTGTCAATTGCATATGCAGGAAATTGTTTGTGAAGATTCCTGAACTGACACCGGTCGGATATAATCCAACGCCCTTTGTGGTATTAGCCAGGGGAGTAGTTGTTTTCTTATAGGCCTACTGTATAGGTATGTCCGAGACTGGTTTGAACGTTTAAAGTTCATTGGTTTAGATTTATTAGTAGAAAACTTGAAATTATTGTTAGATAGTATAATTTCTGAATTGTAACAGCGAATTTATTGATAAACTTGAATTTTGTTTCAGGTTCTGCAGCCAGAATCGCCCCCAAAAGACCTCAGACTGTTCCAGATCATGGAATCGTATCACCAGCCTCAACAAGTCCGCCTAAAAAAGTGAGAACCCGTGCCAAATATTTCTTTTTCTGTTTATTTTTGTGCAATGTGCTGTTTTGTGTTTCATTTTGTCTTATGATTTATTTTTGATTTGAGTTTCATTAATTTTTGGTAGCTCTGTGCTTAGGTGAAGTATCAAAAGCTTACAGGCTGTGGTGGAGGTTAATTTTAAGCTAACAAAAAGCGGTGTCAGTTATATTGGCGACTTTTTGCACAATCCACGTTAATAAGCGATGGTAGGCAATAATTATAACAGTTTCGCAAAATATAGAACATAATCAATGACTTTACATCGGTAGTCATGAAGGAAAGGCGAAGAAATCGCTATTCAAACTCCTAGCAGTGCAAAAAAATGTGAATTACGGTTCAAGTTGTTTTCTAAGAGGTAAAAAAATGCGAGGGTGAATTATTTATTTACAAAACTTTACTGGAGTTTAATCCCAACACCAAAGCTTTATTTTTAACACTTCAACACCTGTTTCAATCATCTAGTGATCATCCTCAAGAGGAAGAGTTTAATCCTCCCACCGCATACTTCTGCTAAAACCTATGTGATCAGATTTGAACACTTCTTTAGTGTTACTCCACTTCTTTGGTAAGACCTCCCTTGATGACAACGGCATCTATAGGCAAGACTTTTCAAGGCTGTCAGTTGCAAATCCAAAGTCGACATCAACCGTCGAACGTGATTCGTCTTCCGTCTTTCACTGCAGCTTTTACTCTAAAGCAACTAGATGAAACTAGAGTCGAAACAAAGCATAACTGCACAAAATCATCGAAAGTGTAATGTCTCTCGAAAAATTGGTCATTATCTTCTTTCTCCTATTCCTTCCGTACTTCTGTTCTGAACTACTAACCGCCGTTCTTTTTCGTAATAATTATTCATCCTATTTGAGTTCTTCGTGAAGAAACAAAACATACCCACCTCTTCATCCTATAGAAGGCAACGTTTATCTATTGCATGATGCTTTTCTTGAAGTAAGTATCTAATTACATGACTATATTATAAGTTCTCCCACAGATACTTCACGTTTGCATGATTCTGGTTTCACAACTAACTCATTGCATGACACTAACGTTATACAAGGTGTCTAATAATCCATGTAGTCGGGTTTCTGGTGGTTTCCAAGAAGTAAGACAAAAAAACAGACTAATAAGTTACATGTTAACTGTATTTGGTTGGAAGTTGAATTGCAGGTGAATAACTTGAGTCGAACTACCTAATTTTTGTTGAAACATAACCAAACAAATGAGTTAATATGATATGTTGTCTATATTTTCATCAGTTTTACTGAAGTCATTTTTATAAATCGTTAAATGAAGTCAATATCTTCAGCTGTCTTCTTATTCAATCAGGAGAATCATGGATATATTATACACCTCGTTTTTTTCTCAACTTTCTTGTTCAGCTGGCTTCTTGAATTATTAACTAATATTTTCGATAATTTTCACATGAGGCCTTTCAGAAGACAAGCAACAGTTATCAAAGTGCTTGAAAAGATGGTAGGCGGTTGGCTAGAGATCTGGGAAGTATGGTGGAGGATCCACTGTTCATCACACTCCGTGGGATTCCTCAAATCCTCGACCTGGATTACTGTAGGTCGAGGAACCTATGCGACTGGAACGAGGAACCATAAAGCTGATGAATGCGCTTGACGCGGATCATCAACTCCATATTTAGGTCCTGAACCAGCTCTGAGGATACCAAAATCATTGGTACGAAACCAGATTAGGACATGGACCAATAAGAAGCACCCAGAGTACTGGACAAAAGTACCTGGCAACAAACACAGTAGAACCTTCATTAGGGAATTGTGTGAGAAAGGAACCGAAGAACTACTTCAATGTAGTAGGGATCGGCTCAGAATAATTACAGGGTTACTAACCGGTCATTGTTCGCTTAGAGGACACCTGGCACCTGGACACCTGCTCGGACAGTCAAGCGGCGTTGGAAGCTCTTGGCTCCTACCGAGCAACGTCTATATTGGTAGCAAATTGCCAAAAACGACTCTCCTTGATAGGAAGACTTAACAGATTGTCTTTGGTCTGGATTCCTGGCCATACTGGCCTGAAAGGCAATAAGGCTGCTGACTTCCTTGCAAAGGAGGATGCTGCAAGTAGCTTCATCGGACCAGAACCTGTCATTGGTATCGCTTTAGGCTTTGCCAAACAAATATTGAACACCTGGATGGCAAAAAGATTCATGAACTTCTGGCAGAATCTTCCACGATTGACTCACTCCAAGGAGTTTAATCACCCTCCGAAGCTTGGTACCAAACAGTTGTTGAACAGTAGAGATGAACTACGATGTCTAACAGGCCTTCTTACAGGTCAGTGTCATTTGAATCATCATATGCAGAGGCAAGAGTTCGGCAGAACCTCACCATACAAACTAATCGGCTTCGTTGACAAACTGGGTTTATTTGGTCCAGTGTCAATAGGTATGAGCCACAATAGACCTTTGCGGGTTGCAGTGGAGGGTCGAACAGACCCACTCACTTTGGACCTAACCTAACCCAACCTACTGTAAGGCGACCACTTCGAGGCTTGTTTTCGGAGCTAAAATCTCCGGAACGAAATTTCGCAAACCAGCACTATCATTGCTTAATGCTTGTTTGATTTTTCGGGCTGTTTCGGCAGTATACAGTGTGTAACAACGAAAACTTAACAGAACCGTTTTTTAATATAAAAAGTAAGATTTTTAAAAAAAGCTCGGACACGTCGATTTCTAATTAAAGGGGGACACTTTTCAGACTAATCAGATTTTTTGTAGTACGCACCCCTCGGAGGGGTGCGTCCGACGACCCTTATTTAGATAGGGAAAGTAGGTCGAGTGGCACCTTGTTTTAAAGGTCTTTCAAATACCTTTACAACTATGTTAAAAGAAAATTTTTGTAACGATTAGTTTTCGAGAAATTGCCATGTTAATAATACAATAAACAGACCACTCGGTAACTTGTATGCCTAAATAAAAATAAATCAGTTTTTTGTTAAATAAAATCCCTTTTTTAAAGTCAATACCCACTCCACTTCTTCCAGTTTTCATTAGTACATCGTTCGATTGTTTTGTTTAAACGGGTCATGTATTGTTATTTGTTGAAAAATGCCTTACACTACTGCTGAAAGGGTGCAGTTATTGCTTTATTTTTTGGCAACGACCAAAATGCTAATAGAACATCAATTTCATTAACGAGCAAAACCCTGGTAAACACCTAAGCAAAAATCACGTTCTGGATTTGGTCACAAAATTCAGGGAGACAGGTTCGGTTTTAAATAAGAAAAGAAATGTTCAGAGAAGGGTAGTAAATGACGATAATGCGATTGGAGTGATTGGTCAAGTCATCGCCAATCCCAGGTTAAGTACCAGAGGTTTATCAGCAATGGCCGGAATAAGCCATATGAGCGCATGAAGATTCCTTGAAAACCACAAATTCCATCATTACAAAATTAAACTTGTTCATGAACTCAATGAGGATGATTTTGACCGAAGACAGGAGTTTTGTGAGGGCAAGAGTGAGATATTAATGCAAAATCCCGAGACCCATGATGAAAACCCAAGACAATACGCAGAAATACATACCCAACATCCCCAATAGTTGAATGTCTGGGCCGGAATATTAGGCAATCATATTATAGGTCCATTTTTCATTGATGGAAATTTAACCGGTGATTCTTATTTACAACTTCTTGAAGAGGCAATACAACCTTGTATAGTTGAAATAATTGAACAGGATCCAAGATGACAAGATGAATTTATCCATTTTCAACAAGACGGTGCACCACCCCATTATGCCCAGCAGGTTCGAAATTTTTTGAATAATCATTTTGAAGGACAATGGATTGGCAGAAGAGGTCCAATTGAATGGCCAGCACGATCACCAGATTTAACACCACTGAACTACTTTTTGTGGGGATATTTAAAGTCTAAAGTTTATGCTACACAGCCAGCCAATTTGGATGAATTACGTCGTAGAATTATTGATGAACGCCGAGCTATAACTCCTGAGATGTTGAATAATGTAAGAGCAAAATTCGAACAAAATCTTTATTGTTGCATGGAGCAAAATGGCGCACATTTTGAACATTTACTCTAAATTTCCTATGTGAGTTACCCTTATTAGGTGTTACTTTTTTTGTGTGTGCTTTAAAAACAATTATTGGGATTTATTAACCCTAAAACAGTTTTTTAAACTTTTCTGTGTCATCAGCATTCAAGGAAATCAGCAGGTTGTATTCGTTGTGTAGATAAGTTTTTAGTATGATTCACTTTTTTGTCAGAAGCATAAAATATCCACGTCAAAAGGCAACCTTCATAAGGAGGTGCCACTCAATTTACCTAAAATGTAAGGGTGGTAACCAACCCCATCCCGCGAAAAAATTTCTTCGTAATAAACAAATAATTCTTACTTTTTTACAAAATCAATTGGACACGTATTAGCAGGTTGTCATAAAAAGCAAAAATTTATTTTTTTATGAAAGTTCTGAACGTGAATTGTACCTTAAAAACAATTTGATTTATTTTAAAAAGAGTTGAACTCAATAAAAATACCTTTAAATCTTCAAATTATCTAGAAAAATAATCGTTACAAAAATTTTCTTTTAACAGAGATGTAAACGTATTCGAAAGACCTTTAAAACAAGGTGCCATTCGACCTACTTTCCCTATCTAAATAAGGATCGTCGGACGCACCCCTCCGAGGGGGTGAGTACTACAAAAAATCTGATCAGTCTGAAAGGTGTCCCCCTTCAATTAGAAATCGACGTGTCCGAGCTTTTTTTAAAAATCTTACTTTTTATATTCAAAAACGGCTCTGTTAAGTTTTCGTTGTTACACACTGTATAACCATGACATAGAAAAATAAATGTTTATTGATAATGAGCTACAAAAGCACCTGCCATTAAAACGGCAAAGCTCTTGAAACAACCTAAAACATCAAGATGTTTCTAAATTAAATATTTTCATTATTGTCTCTGTTCTTCTGAAGTTTCACTAAATATTA